GTCCTAGCATCAGCCATCAGACAACAAAAGGAAATCAAAGGCATCAGAATTGGCAAAGAGGAAGTCAAACTTTCACTCTTCGCAGATGACATGATACTCTACATAGAAAACCCGACAGACTCCACCAGAAGCCTACTAGAACTGATCCAAGAATTCAGCCAAGTTGCAGGGTACAAAATCAACGTACAGAAATCGGTTGCATTTTTATACACCAATAATGAAGCAACAGAAAGAGAAATCAAGAAACTGATCCCATTCACAATTGCACAAAAAACCATAAAATACCTCGGAATAAACCTAACCAAGGATACAAGAGATCTGTATGATGAAAACTATAGAAAACTTATGAAGGAAATTGAAGAAGACACAAAGAAATGGAAAAACATTCCATGCTCATGGATAGGAAGAATAAATATAGTTAAGATGTCATTACTACCTAAAGCACTCTACACATTCAATGCAATTCCAATCAAAATTGCACCAGCATACTTCTCAAAACTAGAACAAACTATCCAAAAATTTGTATGGAACCACAAAAGACCCCGAATAGCCAAAGTAATACTGAAAAATAAAACCAAAACGGGAGGTATCACCATCCCAGACTTCAGCCTCTACTACAAAGCTGTCATCCTCAAGACAGTATGGTATTGGCACAAAAACAGACACATAGACCAATGGAACAGAATTGAGAACTCAGAAGTGGACCCAAAAGTATACAGCCAACTGATCTTTGACAAAGCAGGAAAGAATATCCAATGGAAAAAAGACAGCCTTTTTAACAGATGGTGTTGGGAGAACTGGACAGCAACATGCAGAAGAATGAAACTAGATCATTTTCTCACACCATGCACAAAAATCAACTCAAAATGGATAAAGGACCTGAACGTGAGACAGGAAACTATCAACACCCTAGAGGAGAAAGCAGGAAACAACCTCCTTGACCTCCACCGCAGCAACTTCTTACTTGACACATCCCCAAAAGCAAGGGAATCAAGAGCAAAAATAAACTGTTGGGACCTCATCAAGATTAAAAGCTTCTGCACAGCCAAGGAAACAACCCAGAAAATTAATAGGCAACCAACGGAATGGGAAAAGATAGTTGCAAATGACATATCAGATAAAGGGTTAATATCCAGAATCTATAAGGAACTCACCAAACTACACGCCCGAAAAACAAACAACCCAGTGAAGAAATGGGCAGAAGACATGAACAGACACTTCTCCAAAGAGGACATCCAGATGGCCAACAGACACATGAAACGATGCTCAGCATCCCTCCTCATCAGGGAAATACAAATCAAAACCACACTGAGATACCACCTCACGCCAGTCAGAGTGGCTAAAATGAGCAAATCAGAGAACTCTAGATGCTGGCGAGGATGTGGAGAAACGGGCACCCTCCTACACTGTTGGTGGGAATGTAAACTGGTACAGCCCCTCTGGAAAACAGTGTGGAGGTTCCTCAGGAAACTAACAATAGAACTCCCTTATGACCCAGCAATAGCACTGCTAGGAATTTACCCAAGGGATACAGAAATGCTGAGGCATAGGAGCACATGTACCCCAATGTTCATAGCAGCACTCTCCCAAATAGCTAAAACATGGAAAGAGCCTAAGTGTCCATCAACAGATGAATGGATCAAGAAGATGTGGTTTATCTATACCATGGAATACTACATGGCAATGAGAACGAATGAAATCTGGCCATGTGTAGCAACATGGATGGACCTTGAGGATGTTATGCTGAGCGAAATAAGTCAGGCAGAGAAGGACAAATACCATATGTTTGCACGTATAGGAGGATTAGGAGGAACTTGACCGAGGAACAAGGGGGAGAAGAAGGGCGGAAATGGTGGGGGAAAGGGAGAGGCAAACCATGAGAGACTCTTGAATGCTGACAAAAACTGAGGACTGATGGATGTGGGGGGAAGGGGGGATGGGCATGGAGGAGGACACTTGTGGGGATGAACGCTGGGTGTTATGTGGAAACTAATTTGACAATAAACTATTTGTAAAAAAAAAAGAAAAATAAAAAAATAAAAAATAAAAATAAAGAAATAAATAAAAATCAATGAATGTATGAATGAATAAGATTATTACTAGTTGAGTTGGTTTATCCATGAAGCCTTTCAGGACGTTATTATAGGTCCACGAGGACTGATCTATATTCTTCGTATTGTTTGTATGTTTGCTTGCTTTGTGTTTATTCTTGCTTGTTTACATGGAGGCAGGGTCAAAATGAGGGCATGGGAGTTCAAGGCTCCTCGTTAGGGTACTCAACTCAACATGGCCCTTGAAAGGAAAGCTATATCACACTCATCCAGAGCAAGAGAGAAAAAATACAAACAGAAAGAAAAACAAAACAAAACAAAAAGACAATAAAAAAACACATTACTTTCTGGGTTAGGGCAGTGCTGGAGAGCCCAGCTGTCCCACTCATCAGGGGAACCACTCTGGACCCAGAGCACTCTGGGAAGTGCCACACACTGGCTGGTTTACCTCCAGCCCTCATTTCTCCTGAGGTGAACTACTGAAGAGGGGCTCCAACTTACACCTCCGCTAGCTGTGGACACAGACAAAGTAGGTCCTTAACGCCTGTTAGCAGAAATGCTCTCAGGTAAACCTGAGGTTAATGGCTATGCAGGGCTTGGGGATGTTATCATTTATAAAGCAAAGGGTTTTGCATTAAGAAGCAGACAGGATTCTAGTATTGATTGTCCAATTATTACCCTATAAGACCTGTAGGATAATTTCTAGGCTCTCTGCCTTTGGTCTTCCTGACTGGTTAAAAGGGCAGGCTGGACCGATTAGAACTGGTGCCCGGGCCGGTTATGAGATGTGGCCTGGAATTTAGCTAGATTGGCGTTAAATCTTATTTCTGCAAATGAAGCTGTGTTGTCTCAGGCAAGTTACTTAACTCTCTAGGACTTGATCCTTTATCTGCCAAATGGAGGTAACAGATTTTAAGGTTAGTTATAAGACTAATATAAATAGCAAATAGAGATCATGTATGCAATGAGCTTAGATTTAGGTCATTTAAAGTGTTCAATATGTTTATTATTAATGTGGTCATCCTCATTTAAAAGATCCCCAAGGTTGTTCACATATGAATTGGTTCCCACAATTTTCTTATGAGACATAATTGAGATTTAGAACTCTATCTATTTATATTTGTCTATCATCTATCTGTCATCTCTCTATCATCTATTGATCTATATCTATCTGTCATCTATTTATATGTCAGAATTTTATAAACAGACATAGAGGGAGTTCTAAATCTCATTTATATCTGGGTACCTGGATTGGGGAAGGTGAGAAGATTGTCTTTGACAGGTTGCCCGCCAAACCCCCTGTGGTGCTGCCAGCCCCAGGCAGTGAGCAGGCACAGCGGCCACCAAGTGCCTGAGCTCCAACTGACACTCCAGAGGAGGGACAGCCCCTGCCTAGGACAAAGGATGATGGGGGGTGCAAGTCTTTCCAGGCCTGCACTGACGGGTCACGGCCCAGTGGGAGAGTGTCAGTGGTCACGGGGCTGGGAGAGATGGGGGAGGTCTGGTGGGGCCCAGGGTCCTGGGAGCAGGTGCTGACAACCCAAACCAGCAAGGCAGACACCCTGAGGGTGCAGGACCTCGTGTGAGCTGAGGCTCTGAGGCCCTCTGCATGCTCCATTTTCCCTCTGAACTTCTCTTACAAAATACAGTCCATGTACTGGGGCGCCTGGGTGGCCCAGTTGTTTAAGCATCCAATTTTGGTTCAGGTCATGATCTTACAGTTCGTGGGTTTGAGCCTCATGTCGGGCTCTGTTCTAACAGCTCAGAACCTGGAGCCTGTTTCAGATTCTGTGTCTCCCTCTCTCTCTGCTCCTCTCCTACTCATGCTCTGTCTCTCTCTGTCTCTCTCAAAAATAAACAAACAGTAAAAAATAAAAATAAAAAAATATATAGCTCATAAACAATTTCCTAGGAATTTCAAGTCAGACACCCCGGGGCCTTAAACCCCTGGTACAGAGTCCTTCTGGGTTTCAGGAACATTTTTGAGTGAGCTGAGTGGGGGGCCCTTTGCAGCATGCCCATAAAACCAGCCCTGAATCTCTGCCACACACAATGGTGACAAAGCGTAAGAGAATTAAAATACCAAGAGTGCACTGCCTGTCATCTAACAGGTTCTTGGTGCAAAGTAGTTGCTGAGATGGTTTTCACCTGCTCTTCTCCCAGTGCCCCATTCTCCAAAGAGGGCATCGTTTTACGGTGCAAATCCAAGCATGTGATTCACCTTAAAATGTTTAAGTTCCTTCTCTTTGTTCTGGAAATCAAGTACAAACTTCCTGTGGTGGGTGAATCTCTGACACAATCATCTAAGGCCTGCCTGACCCCTCTCCTGAGGCCCCTTTTCTCCTCTGTCACTGTCTTCAGGCTCACTGACATTTGCTTTCATTAGGCTTCCTCTCACCTTATGTCCTTAGCCATATTTAGAGAAAAGAGGAGTTCCAGACAGAGGGAGCAATCTGTGCGAAGCCTTACTCATTTGTAAGTTTGAAAATTCACTTCCTTGGGAGGGTTTTCTTTCAGATTTTTGACCAGCCAAAACAACACCTGTCTGTGATATGCTTTCTTTATTTTTTTTTTGATGTTTTATTTATTTATTTGGGAGGAGGGGAGGAGAGAGCAAGCACCCATGAGCAGGGTAGGGACAGAGAGAGAGGGAGAGAGAGAGAATCCCAAGCAGGCTCTGCGCTGTGGAGCCCTATGTGGGACTCGAACCTATCAACCCTGAGACCGTGGCCTGAGTGGAAATCAAGTATCAGACGCTGAACTAATGGAACCACTTAGGCTCCCCCTGTGATGTGCTTTCATAATATCCTGTGTTTGATTTTCTTTTTGTTTTTAATCTTCTGAGACAGATTTGTTTCCTTCAAAAATGACCCAACAAGGGCTCAGGCTTAAAAAGAAAACCCACACCTAAACAGAAAATGGAACTTTCTTTCTCTGGCCAGAACAAAATGTGAGAAAGCATGAACTCAGTCCCACCTCCCCACCAGCTCCAAATTTCCTACATTTGGGGAAATCGCAGGGGTCAGCACATCAGGAGTGCAGCGTATGACTTGCCTTGGGAAAATCACCTTCATGATCACCGGCATCTCCCCTCCCAGGTAAGTATATCCTGTGTGTGTGTGTGTGTGTGTGTGTGTGTGTGTGTGTGTGTGTGTACGCGCGCGCACGTGCGCACATGCTGTTTTTAAACAGAACTTATAATATTTATAAATATAATCAGCTCCTTAACGATTATTGATTTAATGTGTGTCTAATTAAACTGTTAGCATCATGCAGGCAGTCTCTGGTATCTCTTGTTTGCATCTCCACTCTGGTGCCTAGTTGAGAGCCAGACACATACAAGGTAGATTCTTAGGGACTATTAATTAAATTACTTATATCCAGTGTCTAACCAAGATGGATATGCTCATGACCAATCACTTGAGATTACCGTCTGGTAAAGGATGCCCTTTAATATAGGCAAATCCTGGTTAGGTGTTAGAACAAGACTAGTTGCAGGTTTCTTTCACTTCTTGCTCTCCTGGACCTTCTAATTTCACCTCTTTGGGTTTGAAAACCTTTTCTTCCCATTCCCCGGTGTCCTGTGCCCCAGTTCCCTGTATTACCACTCTTCAGCACAGGGCACGTGCATATCTTTCTTCACTGTCTTTGCTTCTAGATTCCTTCCCCTGCCATTTGTGCAGTCACTGAATCTCCTCATTTATTCAATTCATAGTACCTCTACAGCATCATTTTATAGAATTTTCCTATAAACTGCTATTATTTAAAGGTGGAAGGAAAGAGTACATCCAGTGACGCAGCTTGCAAAATAAGCTTTGCAGAAAAAAAAAATGGTCTCTTAGGGGTGTGTGGGTGGCTCAGTGTGCTGACTGCCTAGTCCTTAATTTTGCTCAGGTCATGATCCCAGGGTCATGGAATCAAGCCCTGTGTCGGGCTCCACACTGAGCATTGAGCCTGCTAGGGACTCTCTCTCTCTCTCTCTCTCTCTCTCTCTCTCTCTCTTTCCCTCTGCCCTTTTCCGCTGCTTGCTCTCTCCCTCACTCTAAAAAAGAAAATGGCCTTTTGAAGTAAAAAATATACTGGCTTATTTAAATAACCTCACTATATAAGCAGCACTGAGCTTCCTGTAAATTTCAGCTGCCTATAGTACACAGTTTGCTAATTACAAAATGGGTGTGGAAATGAGAGACCTAGGTACATAGCCACTGAGTTTCCAGAGCATTCTGAGATGATCTCTCATATATTTGTCATTGTCTACAGCCTAATAAGATTATGCTTCCTTTTCACCTTTCATTTTATCATTGTCCATAATAAAGGGATGCATTAATTTAATCCATAAATACAGATATGATGGTTTTATCCTGTGGCTGTGAATGGTGCTTTAAAATAAAGAATCAAAATGATAAACCAGTGTAGTAATTTACCATAATTACAGCAATGAAATATTACTTTGAGTTAGTCATGGCAGTAATACGCAGCTCAGGAACTTCTAGCAAAATCCGCTAACTGGAAGAGAGCAAAGGGAGGAAGAAATGAGACGTGAGGTCGTGTGAGGTTTCTATCTACTAATCCAGACAGTTGAGAAAGTAAATGCAAGATGGAAGGCTCAGAGAAAGATCTGCCCTGGGAGGAGGTGCCCTTGTTTTCTCCGGAAAAGCCGCCAAGTTTAGGAGACTTGCCACAGTTTAATTAAAGTCTGCAGCTGGTGTGAAAGCAAAGGAGAAAAAGAAATTAGGGCAGCACAAAAACTAATGAAAGTCTAGAATCTCATTTTAAACTTTTCTCTCTATTATGAAAGAAATACGACTTGTCACATGTGCCCCATTCACTGTGACGAAGCCCTCAGGGAAGGAACATTCTGGACTATGAAGAGAAAAGACCTGTAGTTAGGTCTCTTACGACTTGAGTGCCACTGCTTTTTTTTCAGGAAAAACTCATCAAAAATCTTTGTTTGTTTTTTGAAAACCAGATTGGTTAGAGAGAGCAGTATAAATTGAACAGCTTCAAGTTTATAGGAAAGTCCATTGAAACTTTAAACCAGCCGTGGCAATCAGAGTGGGATTCACATTCGGGCTGTATGGCTGTATTCATCAAGGTCTCCAGAGAACCCAAACCAAGAGGACAGTGTATATTTTAGGGACTGATAAGTCCAAAATTAATGGAGTAAGCTAGCAGGCTAGAAACTCAGTCAGGGTTTGTATGTTAGTCTTGAGCCTGAATTTCTTTGCTTTCAGGAAAACTCAGTATTTCTTCTTAAAGCCTTCAACCACTTATATTATGGAAAGTAATCTGCATTACTGAAAGTATACTGATTTAGATGTTAATTACATCTAAAAAAAAATACCTAGACAGCAACATCTAGTCTAATGGATTTTTTTAATGTTTATTTTTGAAAGAGGAAGAGAAAGAGAGTAAGCAGGGTAGAGGCAGAAAGAGAGGGAGTCAGAGTCTAAAGCATGCTCCAGGCTCTGAGCCATCAGCAGAGAGCACAGTGTGGGGCTCAAACTCACAAACCATGAGATCATGACTGAGACAAAGTCAGATGTTTAACCAACTGAGCCACCAAGGTACCCCTCTAGTCTGATATTTGGTGAAGCAAATGGACACCATGACCTTGCCAAGATAATGGCTGAAATTGTCAAACCAACTAATATTAAAAGTATTATATTAGTTAATGTTTACAGAACACTTTATTTTTGTCAGGTACAATGAACTCATCTAATTTCTACAACAGTCATATGATATAGATAATACTGTTATGCTCAACTTTGGGGTGAGAAAACTAAGAGGAAAGGTAAATAACTTTCCAAGTTCACAGAGAATAAGAAGACGAAGATAGAATTTGAACCCATATAGTCTAACTCCAGAATTTGGGTTCTTAAATACCAATATATGATGAATTTGGGCAAGTTAATTCATTTCCCTGAGCTTTTACTGTTTTATGGGAAAACATATATAACAGCAAATAATGTGTGGTTTGAGGGAACAATTAAATTAGAACCACATACAAAGATCCTAGTAGACTACCTAATAGATAGCAGGTGCTCAATGAAATGTAGCTTTTGGGGCACATGGGTGGCTCAGTAACTCTTGACTTCAGCTCAGTTCATGATCTCATGGTTCCTGAGTTTGAGCCCAACATTGTACTTATGCTGACAGTGCAGAGCCTGCTTAGGGTTCTCTCTCTCTCCCTCTCTCTCTCTGCCTTTCTCCCACTGGTATACACACACACTCTCTCTCTCTCACTCTCAAAATAAATAAATAAAAACTTAATAATAAAAAAATTAATAAAACCTAGTTTTCTTCCCCTGACCTTAACATTGCTTAAGTTTTAATCATCAGGTCTTATTTTTAGAGATCCCTTCACTCTAGAAAAGCTCACTAAAGCATTGAGGTCTGACTTTTATTAAATAGAATTATTTTTATAATTTTTTTCATAATAATTATCTCCTGATAATTTCTAAGATTCATTTAGGCTAGAATTTGTGTTATTCTATGCTGTTCATCAGCACTAAACTCAATCCTTGGCATGAGTAAAATCTTCAATGCATGAAATAAATCAGTAAATAGATTGAGAAATTATTGCCTTTTCTTGTCCACTGAGGTAAGAAACTGAAACTCAGAATGATCAAATGACATGCTCAAGTGGATGCAATCTAAAGATGGGGCATCCTGGTCTCCAGAATTCCATCATTTTATTTATTTATTTGTTTCCTTTCAGAAAATAGTGTGGGATGTAAGCAGAGGCTTAGGCAACTTTAAGGTTCATCATCTCCCTGCCCAGTTGTAGTGGGAGAATGTTTAAATAAAAGTCAAGTATTGAGTGATAGTGACCTTCCTGCCTGGGTCCCCTAGATGGATCCTGACGAGGAACTGAGAGTTGTTGACTTCAAAAGACTTCATTTGGAGTGGACTTCTGATCAGGCGGATAAATAGTTTTGGAGCTCAGTAATGAAAGGGTCAGTGATTCACGCAAAGCACTAATGTATCTACATTTAGATACATGTCACTCATACTTCAAAAAGAAAAGTGAAAAACAACTCACACCTTCATTCAACTTCCACTTCACTTGCCCTTTTACTTTTTCTGGAAACTGATGAGAAATACCTCTATAATTTAAATCTGATGACAAAGTATAAAGTCATTATCTACTTTTATTGAATTGTCTTCTGTTTTATGGACCATTTGAGGGAATGACACATCACTACGGAAACATGTGTGCTCATCCCATCCAGCCAGGCCTCTTCCTGCCTGAGATGTGCCGTTAGTGCTGTAGGAAGTTGATCTCAGACTTGGAGACAGAACACAATGGACTCAGCCACTCACATACCAAGTAAGCTCAAGCAAGTGCCTGAATCTCTCTCTGTCTCATTTTCCTCACAAATGGTATGTGGGTAACAGTTCTACCCTGACTCTATGGAGAAGTAAGATTTCAATAGGGTGATTTATGTGAGAGTCATTTGAATAAGACAACAGATAAAACATATAAATGAAAAATAAACTGTATAAACTATTATGATTATTACTATGGATTTCTGTTTAAAGAAAAATATATTCTACTTGGTATTTAGTTTCCTTCACACTATAAGCAAAGTCTAGATTTCAAGTCTAAGTAAATAGATAAGCAACTCACAGTCTTCCAGGCAATAGCATCTCCTGGCCATTCTAACCTCTCTCTGAAAACCAAAGTTCCAGTCAGTTACTGTTTACCTCCTGGTCTCCTAAAGATTCTTAGTTCCTATTACCTTCCTTCCCATTTACACAGCCAACACCTCAGTTTAAAACTTCATTGATTTCTAAGATGTCTTTATGTTTCTTCTTTCTCCTAAACTGACTTTCATAATGGCTTTCCACTGCCTAGAGAAAATTCCAAATCCTTCAGATCTCTACAACTTGGAACTATCAAGACATTACTGCTTTATATTTCCAGTTTCCATAAAGAAACCCTCTGCTCTGAAAATTTGATTGTCTTACTCTTCCCTCAAATCTTCAACGTGGTTTATTAGAGTACTTCACAAATTCCTCCCTTTCTCACCCTATAAACCATCACATTGGAGTTTTATTCATTTTATGGAAACTCCACGGTTATTTCTCTCCCTCTCCTAA